AGTCTTCACAGAAGCAGAGCCCAAACCACACCCACTGCCGTGGAGTCCATTCTGACCCACAGCGCCCCTAGAGGACAGAGTGGAACTGCACCACAGGGTCTCCCAGGCTATCTGTCTTCACAGAAGCAGACTGCCTCATCTTTCTCCTGGAGAGCAGCTGGTGGGTTTGAACCACTGTCCCTTTTAGTAAGCAGTCCAATGGTTTAACCACAGTGCCATCAGCGTGCAAGAAGGAAGTCAGAAGGGGTTTTGCAGCATAGAGTCCTTTGAGTTGCATGTTGACAGACTGATTCCTGTTCCTTCAGCAAGGAGACTACACTGTGAATCTATTCCCACATTTAAATCCTTTTGATGGGAGCAGATCCCCACCTAAGTGAAGGTCCGAGAGTCATCTCAGTGTTAGGCTGTAGGGACTAGACAGACTGTCCAGGTTGCAGACCCCTGCTTCGGAGCATGTCCTCCCTGCTCTGCAGTGAGCTGTGGCTCTCCCCTCACTTTGAAACACTGCACCGGCCCCACTCAGAACAAAGTCTCTATCACGGTCACCTTCACCTGTGCACGTGCAGCTTTTAAATCATCAAAATGCTTCGAGTCTTTTCTTGCAGTGAAGTGAGGCTAAATAAGAAACATATGCACCTGTTCTGTCATACAAATTCTTAAAGACACAGAAACAGAATTTGTACATAACCCAGGGTGTTCTTGGGGCCTCATGTATGGTATGAACCGGTGTGTCTTAGGGCCTGCTGCATGGTGTGAACCAGTGTGTCTTAGGGCCTGGTGCATGGTGTGAACCGGTGTGACTTAGGACCTGGTGTATGGTATGAATCGGTGTGTCTTAGGGCCTGGTGCATGGTGTGAACTGGTGTGACTTAGGGCCTGGTGTGTGGTGTGAACAGGTGTGACTTAGGGCCTGGTGTGTGGTGTGAACAGGTGTGACTTAGGGCCTGGTGTATGGTGTGAACCAGTGTGTCTTAGGCCTGGTGTATGGTGTGAACCAGTGTGTCTTAGAGCCTGGTGTATGGTGTGAACCAGCGTGTCTTAGGGCCTGGTGCATGGTGTGAACTGGCGTGTCTTAGGGCCTGGTACGTGGTATGAACCGGTGTGTCTTAAGGCCTGGTGTGTGGTGTGAACTGGTGTGTCTTAGGGCCTGGTACGTGCTGTGAATAGGTGTATCCTGGGCCCTGGTGGGTGGTGTGAACTGATGTGTCTTAGGGCCTACACTGTGGTGTGAACCGGTGTGTCTTAGGGCCTGGTGCGTGGTGTGAACCAGTGTGTCTTAGGGCCTGATGTGTGGTATGAACTGGTGTGTCTTTGGGCCTGGTACGTGCTGTGAATAGGTGTATCCTGGGCCCTGGTGGATGGTGTGAACCGATGTGTCTTAGGGCCTACTGTGTGGTGTGAACCGGTATGTCTTAGGGCCTGGTACGTGGTGTGAACCACTGTGTCTTAGGACTGGTGTCTTAGGGCCTGGTGTGTGGTGTGAACTGGTGTTTCTTACGGCCTGGTATGTGCTGTGAATAGGTGTATCCTGGGCCCTGGTGGGTGGTGCGAACCGATGTGTCTTAGGTCCCACTGTTTGGTGTGAATTGGTGTTTCTTAGGGCGTGGTGCGTGGTGTGAACCGGTATATCTTCGGGCTCATGCGTGGTGGGCCACTGCTTAGAAGATGATCATCTGCGACTCTGCTGCTCTGAGCTAAGCGGACTCCTTTACTTCCTAGGCCAACTGGATCAGGGCCGAGGGAGAAGATGAGTTCCAGATCCCTGGAAGAACGAGGCATCCCTCTGAGCAGTCGGGGAAAGCCTCAGGTACAGGTGGGAGACCACTGGGTCCCCCACCGGACCCAGACACTAAGGACGCACGTCACAAAGGAAAGCGTGGGAAGCAGGCAAGTGGAGGAGCAGGGGGGTGGGGGTTGGTGTGTTCTCATGGCGCCGGTCACCAACTTCATTCATGCCTGAGCGTCCTGCACAGGCACAGGGACCACTGGAAAGAAGCGCGAGAGTCTGCTGTGATATTCAGCAGCTGTTCTGTGCTCTGAGCAAGAGGGTATTTTTTCCCCCAACTATTTGAGAGATCATCGTATTTGCATTAATGATACGTAAACTTTTTTCTTTATCTGTTTTGTGTTCTTCACCTTCTTGTAACACAGCAGGAGCTTGGAACTAGGTGTGCCCTCTCTCATCCATGTATTATATACTGCCATTTTTACTTAGTTTCTTGTTTTGCTCACAGAAGGGCAATAGGATGGAGATTAGGTGTTTGAAAAGTGTTTTTAGTGGTTTGTTTGTGTCTTAGGTTCTGAGTATACAGGGAAGCGTGTAAACGTTTCATCTGAAGGAAATTACACTGTCGTGGGGAGTACACGTTGGCAAAGAGATAGCCTCTGCTTGGAGCGATCACTGGATAGCAGCCGTAGGCTAGGCTCACAGGGCTGCGTGGGGCGTGCAGGAAGCAGGAAGGAGACCCCAGTGTTCATTGTGGCTGAGATGAGTCTCGAAGGAAGAAGAGTCAGCTACATGAAGAGCACGCTGGCTGATTCTGGACAGAAGTAGTAACACAAGCAAACATGTGAAGGAAGGAAACAACACGGTGTGGGAGTCAAGTTCTGAGCAGTTGACTCTGGCTCCTTCTTGTATCCCTAACGGTAAGCAATTATCTTTGGAATTAGTGAGTACCTGCTGCATCCGGCAGAGCCTCACAGGTCATGAAATGAAGTGACGTGAAAGGATTAATGGTTTTCTTTATTATTATTTATTAAGTTACGGGGCCAGGTAGACGCCCTGCATGTTCTGCGAGAGTGACCCCTGATGCCTTTGTTCTACTTCATTTATATGTTTGTACATGATTACATCATTAGTTTTGGAAGTCATACAATCAGCTTATTCTCTCCAGAGCTAAAGTTTTACTCCTCTACGTGCTCAAGGACAACAGGTGGTCATTAAAACAATCACAGAAGCCTCCTCAGGAATAAGGAGTGTAAAACGATAAATGTTTACTAGGACACAGTGATGCAAAGTATGAAACATCCCAATAAGATAAAAAACATGGAGAATAACATCTACTTTTAATACTTTGATGTTTTGCCAATTAAGTATTTAACAGGGATGGAGACCTTGCCATCTCTTAAAGCAAACACTCAGTCACAAGAGAGGCCGTGGCATCTCTTCACTGTAATTAGAACATGTGCCTTGCAGTCATTTTCTTTCGGGGTCTTTTTCTTGGTCCCCAACAAATACCGCCTAAAACCTCTCCTGCCTTGCGGAGTGTCACACTGCTTTATGTTGAACATCTGAGACCAGCTTGATGAGGGCGTGGCAGGTCTGAAATGATCCCAGAAACAGCTTTTACCTTCAAAGATTGTCTTTAAAAAGTCAGTGCACAAGAAAACAAGTTCAAAAGGCATGGAAGGAGATACAACAGGCATAAAAGGGCTCCCATGTGTAACTGCGTACTGCAGAAGGTTGGCTTAGCCTGCCCCTAAATTCAAGATGTGTGTTAGGCTGCGTTCTCTAGAGAAAAAAAACCAGTAAAGCTTAGAGAGAGAGAGAGAAAGACAAATTTATCTTGGGGAACTGGCTTACACACTTACAGAAGCTGGCAAGTTCCAAGTTCCTGGATCAAACGTCCAGCTGGAGGCTTTTCCCGACTCTTGCAGCTGCAGGGGCTGACGAGCTCAAGGTTGGCAGGCAGTGTACTGGCCGTTGACTCCAACGAATGACGAATCCAAGATCTCCAGGCCGAATGGTGGATTGTTTGCCCGCAGATAGTTGTAGGCAGCACAACAGAATCCTGATCCACAGAAGAGTGTCTTTTTTTCCCAGGATGTCAATAAATAAACTGGAAGCAGACCACACCCCTAGGGAAACTCCCTTTCAACGGATTGGCTGCTCAAAACATACATCCGATCTCATCATGGGAATAACCCACATCACAGTTGCTTAAACCACACAAAATTATGGTCCAGCCAAGTTGACACACAGCTCCAACTATCACAGCATGCATTGGCCCTCAGAGATTGAATGATGGTCCCAGCTCCCAGCAGCTGTGAAACTAGAAAAGTGTGGGTATCTGTGTTAAACGAGATACAGCGTGTTCAGTGTTTGCATGTTCATTCTTGCTTCAAGTGAGGCTTTTACTTGATTTCTGTCAAAACGCATTGACTTGGCTCTGCCCATCCTGCCAGGTCGGCCATTTACCAGATACACTTTCATTGTCCTGAGTGCCAGGTGCACACAGTATCCAGAGACAATAACCGTCTGAAGGAGTTCAGAGTCTAGTCGTTCTAAATGTGATGTGATGAATGCTGCGCTGGAGGAATGTTACTGTTTAAATCTTACTTGACTTGATCGTGGTGCTCACGTGCGACCAGAACAGCCTTCCGCCACGTAGCAGCTGTGGTCTGCGCTCCACGTTAGAAGTCTGCCAGGCCCTAGGTACCAGGTCACCTCAAGAGATTTTCATCATTGGTCTCTTGTATTGTTTGGCTTCCAGTTCCCTTCCCCATTTCGGTACTTGACTATTTTTACATGTTGAAACATTTTTATTGTTTAGGTTAAAGACGTGTCAAGTGGTGAGATTAACCTGAGTCACATCGTCCCCTACGAGCCAGTTTCAGAAGAAAAGGCAAAAGAGATCCCTGAGTGGAGTGAGAAGGTGGCTCAGAACATTCTGTCAGGTACGTCACGGGCGGTCACTCCCTATGGTATGAAACCTTTCTCTGTCAGGGATGGTCACTCCCTACAACATGAAATTTTCTACCGGAACATTTTGTCAGGGACAGTCACTCCCTATGGTATGAAACTTTTCTACCAGAACATTTTGTCAGAGATAGTCATTCCCTACAGCATGAAACCTTTCTACCAAAACATTCCGTCAGGGACAGTCACTCTCTACAGTATGAAAACTTTCTACCGGAACATCCTGTCAGGAACAGTCACTCACCCTACATCATGAAACCTTTTTACCGGAACATCCTGTCAGTAACAGTCACTCACCCTAAAACATGAAACCTTTTTACCGGAACATCCTGTCAGGAACAGTCACTCGCCCTACAACATGAAACCTTTTTACCGGAACATCCTGTCAGGAACAGTCACTCGCCCTACAACATGAAACCTTTCTGCCGGAACATTCTGTCAGGTATCATGTGAATGTTCATTTTTCCCATGTTGTGAAACCTTCGTAACTTTCTTGAACCCCAGTAAAGGGCCCTTCATCAGGGTACACTGTGTTTGTCACAAGTGACACATCCCCGTAAATAACGTGTGAGGGGATCTGCGATTGGCAAAAACCATATAGCACACGCTTTTTTCGCAGAGAATGCAGTACTTAGATAATAGTTTTTATTTTCATTCTAAGTAAGCAGTTTAGAAATACTTAAAAATAGAAGCCACAGGATCTTAGAATATCCCGTATTGTTATGTAGGTAAATGCCTGTTACTCCATGTTTCACTCTTGGGAGAATTGGTGGTGAAACGTGTTCTGGTTCCCTTGTACCACTCTGATAAGAATATACCACAAATGGGATGCTTGAACAAACAGGAGTTTATTCTTTTACAGTTTGGAGGCTCTAAGTCCAAAGTCAGAGTGCCAGGCTCTAGGGACTATGTGAAAGCCCCTTGACCTTCAGCTCAGCTGTCCTGTCTCATTGGACGGTCCTGCCCCTTTTCCCTTACTGTCTACTTCACCGGGAACAGTGTCCACCTCCAGGGCCTGGTCCCTCGTGAGAACATTCCCAAAGCACACGAGGTGAACACCGTCCTCACTTCTACAGAGCATTCTGCCTGTACTTCCTCCAGGACAGATTTGTTCATTCTCCTGCTGTTGGTAGGTGCCGTCGAGTTAGCTCCGACTCATAGCAACCCCGTGTACAACAGAAGGAAACACTGCCCGGTCCTTGCCAGCCTCACAATCCGTGCTAGACTGAGCCCATCACTGCAGCCACCGTGTCAATCCGTCTTCTCCGTTTTTGTTGACCCCCCCACACTGTAACAAGCATTACATCCTTCTCCAGGGAATCCTCTTGACAACGTGACCAAAGGAGCATTCTGGCTGCACTTCTTCCAGACAGATTTGTTAGTTCTTTTGGCAGTCCATGGTACTTTTGAGGAGACCTGGTGGCGTAGTGCCTAAGGCATTTGACTGCTAACCAGAAGGCTGGTAGTCCAAACCATCAGCCATTCCTCAGAAGGAAGGTTAGGCAATCTATGTCGTAGTGATAACTGCTAGGGAAACCCAAGGAAGGGTCGCTATGAGTCGGATCCAACTCAACAACAGTGCATATGGTACTTTCGGTGTTCTTTGCCAATACCACAACTCAAAAACATCAACTCTTCTTCAGTCTTCCTTATTCATTGTCCAGTTCTCATATGCATTTGAGGCAATTGAAAATACCATGGGTTGGATTAACTAACCAGACCAAACACACTGCTGTTGAGTTGACTCCAACTCATAGCGACCCCTCCTTGGGTTTCCCAGGCACTATCTCTACAGAAGTAGATTCCCCAACCTTCCTTCCGAGGAGTGGCTGGTGGGTTTGAACTGCCAGCCTTCTGGTTAGCAGTCAGATGCCTTAGGTCCTACACCACCAGAGCTCCAGTGGCTTGGGTCAGGTGCCCCTTAATCTTCAAAGAGACATATTTGCTCTTCTTCACTTGAAAGAGGTCTTCTGCAGCAGACTTGCCTGATGCAATATGTCATCTGATGTCTTGACTGCTGCTTCCATTGGTTTTCATTGTGGAACCAAGTGATATGAAGCCTTTGACAACTTCAGTCTTCTCTCCATTTATTGTGACACTGCTTGTTGATCCCCTTGTGAGGATTTTTGTTTTCCTTATGTGGAGGTGTAATCCATACTGCAGACTGTAGTCTTTGATCTTCATCAGTAAGTGCTTCAAGTCATCCTCACTTTCTGCAAGCTAAGTTGTGTCATCTGCGTATCACAGGTTGTTAACGAGTCTTCCTCCAATCCTGATGCCACGTTCTTCTTCATATAGTCCAGCTTCACGGATTATTCACTCAGCATACAGATTGAATGAGTATGGTGAAAGGATACAACCCTGACACATTCCCTTCCTGATTTTAAACCATGCAGTATCCCCTTGTTCTGTTTGAATGACAGGCTCCTGGTCTGTGTACAAGTTCCTCATGAGCACAATTAAGTGTTCTGGAATTCCCGTTCTTCTCAGTGTTATCCATAATTTGTTATGATCTACACAATCAAATGCTATCTCTTGTTCCAGGTCCTCTTCTGACTCCAGCTTGCATTTCTGGAAGTTGCCTGTTAATGTACTGCTGCGACTATTTTTGAATTCTCTTCAGCATGATTTTATATGCATGTGATATTAATGATCTTGTTGATAATTTCCACATTCTGTTCGATCACCTTTCATTGGAATGGGTAGAAATACGCATCACTTCCAGTCAGTTGGCGAGGTAGCTAGCTGTCTTCCAAATCTCTTGGCATAGCCGAGTGAGTGCCTCCAGTGCGGCATCCGTTTGTTGAAACGGCTCAGTGGATATTCCCTCAATACCTGGAACCTTGTTCTTCACCAATTCCTTCAGGGTAGCTTCAACTTCTTCCTTCAGTACCATTGGTTCTTGATTATACGCAGCCTTCTGAAATGAATGAACGTCAACCAATTCTTTTTGGTACAGGGACTCTGTATTCCTTCCATCTTCTTTTGATGTTTCCTGCATCATTCAATATTTTCCCCATAGAATCTTTCAGTATTGCAACTCAAGGCTGAAATTTTTTTCAGTTCTTTCAGCGTGAGAAATGCCAAGCATATTCTTCCCTTTTGGTTTTCTAACTCCAGGTCTTTGCACACTTCATTATAATAATTGCCTTTGTCCACTCGTTCAGCAGCTTTAAAATCTTCTGTTCAGCTCTTTTATCTTGTCATTTCTTCCATTTGCTTTAGCTACTCTCCATTCAAGGACAAGTTTCAGAGTCTCTTCTGACATCCTTTTTGGTCTTTCTTCCTTTCCTGTCTTTTTAATGATCTTTTCCTTTCTTCATGGATGATGTTCTTCATGTCATCCCACAACTCCTCTGGTTTTCAGTCACTGGTGTCCAATGCATCAAATCTGTTCTTTAGATGGTCTCTAAAATCAGGAGTTGTTGTTGGGAGCTCTGGTAGCATAGTGGCTAAGGCACTTGACTGCTAACCAGAAGGCTGGCAGTTCAAACCCACCAGCCACGCAGTCCTACTTCCGTAGTGATACTGCCTCAGAAACCCAAGGAGGGGTCTCTATGAGTCAGGGCTGACTCGACGACACATAACAACAACAAAATCAGGAGGGATATAATCAAGGTCATATTTTGGCTCTCATGGACTTGTTTTAATTGTCCTCAACTTCAAGTTGAACTTGCATATGAGCAGTTGATGGTCTTTCCATGGTCAGCTCCTGGCCTGGTTTTGGCTGAAGATTCTGAGCTTCTCTTCTTGCCACAGATGTTGTTGATCTGATTCCTGTGTACTCCATCTGGTGAAGTCCGTGTATATAGCCGCCATTTATATTGTTGAAAAAAGGTATTTGCTATGAATAAGTCATTGGTCTTGCAAAATTCTATCATGAGGTCTCCGGCATTATTTCTTTCACCAAGGCCAAATTTACCAACTACCATTGTTCTTCTTTGTTTCCATCTTTTCCATTCCAATTACCAGTGATAACACGTCCTGATTGAATGTTTGGTTGATTTCAGACTGCAGGAAATTATCCATTTCCTCATCTTTGACTTTGGTGTTTGGTGCGTGAATTTGAATACTAGCAGTAGTAACTAGTCTTCCTTGTAAGTGTATGGATATTATCGTATCACTACAGCATTTTACTTTAGGATACATCTTGGTAAATCCTTTGTGATGATGAATGCCACGGCCTTCCTCTTCAATCTGTCATTCCCGGCATAGCAGATTTTATGAACGTCTGATTTGAAATGGCCCAAAACACTCCATTTCAGCCCACTAATGCCTAGGATATCAGTCTTTACGTGTTCTCTTTTCATTTATAACAACTTCCAATTTTCCTTGATTCATACTTCATACATTCCCTGTTCGGATTATTAATGGATGTTTGCAGCTGTTTCTTCTCCTCTTGAGTCACGTCCATCAGCAAACGGGGTCCTGAAAGCTTCACCCCATCCATGTCATCAATGTCACCTCTGTTCTGAGGAAGCTGCTCTTCAGTCATACTTTGAGCGCTTTCTGACCTGACGGGCTAATTTTCTGGCATTATATCAGACCATGTTCCAGGGCTATTCGTAAAGTTTTCCAGTAATAGACAGTGTTTCACTGCTATTCATGAGGTTTTCACTGGCCAATTCTTTGTGAAGTGGATGGCCCCTTCCTTCTTCCAAGTCTGTCTTAGTCTGGAAGCCCTGCTACAACCTGTCCACCAAGGGTGACCCTGCTGGTATTTGAAATACCGGTGGCACAGCCTGTAGCCTCACAGTGACATGCAAACCACCACAGTGTGACAAACTGACAGATGAATGATGGGTTCATTTTCTAGCAGTCCGTATTTTCAGTGTTCTTGGCAGGTCCGTATTTTCAGTGTTCTCGGCAGTCCGTATTTTCGGTGTTCTCGGCAGTCCATATTTTCGGTGTTCTTGGCAGGTCCGTATTCTCGGTGTTCTTGGCAGGTCCGTATTCTCGGTGTTCTTGGCAGGTCCGTATTCTCGGTGTTCTTGGCAGTCCGTATTCTCGGTGTTCTTGGCAGTCCGTATTTTCGGTGTTCTTGGCAGTCCGTATTTTCAGTGTTCTTGGCCAGCACCACCGGTCAAATATATCGGTTATTCTGCATCTTCCTGATTCACTGCCCCGCTTTTCACATGCGTATGAGGTGATTGAAAAGACAGTGTGGGAGGTGAGGTGCACCTTAGTCTTCAGAGTGACATCTTTGCTCTTTAACAGTTGAGAGAGTTAAAATCAGCCCTTGAAGGAGGTTGGCCCGGTGCAGTATGTCATCGGACTTCCTGACTGCGGCTTCCATTGGCATTGATTGTGGAGCCAAATAAAATGAAATCCTTGACAACTTCCATTTTTGTCCTCCTTTATCATGATGCTGCTTATTGGTCCACTTACAGAGATTTTTGTTCTTTATGTTGAGGTGTAATCCACACTGCAGACGTAGTCTTTGATCGTCATCAGTAAGTGCTTCAAGTCCTCTTCACTTTCAGCAAGCAAGGCTGCGTCATTTGCGTATCGCCAGTTGTTAATAAACCTTCCTCTAAACCTGGTGCCACACCCTTCTTCATATAGTCCAGCTTCTCAGATTATTTGCTCAGCACACAGACTGAATATGTATGATGGAAGGCTGCAACCCTGATGCACTCCCTTCCTGAGTTTAAACCAGGCAGTATCCCCTTGATCTGTTCCAACGACAGCCTCCTGGTCTATGTACAGGTTCCTCATGAGCACGATTAACTGTTCTAGAATTCTCATTCCTCCCAATGTTACCCATAATGTGTTATGATCCACTCAGTCAAATATCTTCGCATGGTCGATAAGACCCAGGTGTAGGCAGCTTTCTTCTATTCTCTGCTGTCAGCCCAGGTCCAGCTGGCATCAGCACTGATAGCCCTCATTCCACATCCTCTCCTGAATCCAGTGTGAAATTCTGCAAATTCCCTGTCTATGCCCTGCTGTAACTGTTTCTGAATTATTCCAGCAAAATTTGACGTGTGTGTGATATTAATGCTTTTGTTCGATCATTTCCACATTCTGTGGGATCACCTTTCTTCAGAATGGGTACAGATGTGGATCTCTTCTAGTCAGTTGCCCAGGTTGCTGTGTCCAAACCTCTTGGCATAACCGAGTCAGTGCCTCCAGCACAGCACCTGTTTGTTGAAACGTCTCAGTGAGTGTTCTGTCAACTCCAGGAGCCTTGTTTTTCACTGATTGCTTCAGTGCAGCTTTGACTTCTTCCTTCAGTGCCTTGGTTCTTGATCCTATGCCACCTCCTGAGATGGATGGCCATCGACCAGGTCTTTTGGGTACAGTAGCTGTGTATTGCTTCCATCTTCTTTTGATGTTTCCTGCATCATTCAGTATTTTGTCCATAGAACCTTTCAGTATTGCAACTCAAGGCTTAAAATTTTTCTTCATTTCTTTCTGCTTGAGGAATGCTGAGTTTGTTCTTTATTTTCTAACTCCAGGTCTGCACATTCATTATAATACCTTATTTTGTCTTCTCAAGCTGTCCTTTGAAGTCTTCTGTTCAGCTGTTTTATTTCATCATTTCGTCCATTTGCTTTAGCTCCCCTCTGTTCATGATCAAATTTCTGAGTCTCTCTGGCATCATTTTGATCTTTTCTTCTTTTCCTGTCTTTTTAATGACCTTTTGCTTTCTTTATTCCTCGTGTCATCCCACACCTCCTCTGGACTTCTCTGTCAAATCTGTTCCTCACATGGCCTCTAAGTTCAGGTGGGATATATTTCAGGTCATTTTGGCTCTCATGGACTTGTTTTAATTTTCTTTTGCTTCAACGTGAACTTGCATCTGGGCAGTTGATGTTGCTGTTAGGAGGTCCGTAGTCAGGAGACTTGCCCGTCAGCCACACACCTGTGGATAACTACATTGACAGGCCATTTTCCCCGTTTTTTCTTTCTGCGCATTCTGTAATAAGCGTGTTATATGTACTCTTGCTGGTAGGTTTACCACCCCAGGCACAGCAGCCATGCTTGTGTTCAGGGTTCTGGGTCAGGTACCCGGAAAGGAGCCTTGGCAGGAGCTGTGCAGTGTCTGGTCCACTTGCTCCACGGCGGGGGCTGGGGTCCCCTGAAGGTTCCTCCCGCACATGTCTGCAGCTGCCAGCTCAACCCCCAGGCCTGCCAACAGAGCGTGCCACACATAGCCTCTCCGTGGGGCTGGGCTTCGTCACAGTTTGGCTGCCGTCAGGTCGTCTGTGAGCCGCAGTGTGGGCGGCTCAGCAAACAGGCAGAAGCTGGCTCAGGACCTTTTCTGATGGAGCTTTGGGAGTCATCCAGCATCTGCCTGCTGGTCACAAGCAGGTCACAGAGCAGCCCGGATTCAGCAGGACACAGACCCCCAGTCAGTGGGAGGAGGAGGGCACAGCCATGCTGAAGGGCACCAGGGTAGGAGAGCCTGCTGGACGTAAACCCACCACACGGTTAGTGGGGGGAGGATGCTGACAGCCATTCCAGGAAATGCCTGCAGTGGGGAATCCTGCTTTTGGAAAATACCACCACCAAGTCTTTGGCCTCTTCACTTCCCAGACGCCACATAGCTGCTCTGCTGGAAGAGGTGGTTATGGGTGCAATGGAGTCCATTCTGACAGCGCCCCTAGAGGACAGAGTGGAACTGTCCCACAGGGTCTCCAAGGCTGTCAATCTTCACAGAAGCAAAGCCCAAACCACACCCACTGCCGTGGAGTCCATTCTGACCCACAGCGCCCCTAGAGGACAGAGTGGAACTGCACCACAGGGTCTCCAAGGCTGTCAGTCTTCACAGAAGCAGATGGCCTCATCTTTCTCGATTTCTTTTCTAGTCAAGTGGTTGACAGGGTTTGGGTGGGTACTTCCTGTGTCTTTTGTCACCTCTCCCATCTCCTGTCTGCTGTGCTCCCACGTCCCATTGTCTCAGAACCTTTTCGTTTCCCGGGGAGGTTAATGCTATCCTGCTTCCCTTGGTGTCCTCTGCTTACTCTCAGGCTGAAAGCAGCCACCGTCATGGGAAGCAGCTCAGCCTTCTAGACCTTTCTCTTTTCTGATTATACTGTCCTGTCATGAGTGCCAAGCGTTCACGTGCCTTTCTCATTTGGGTTTCTGTACAAGCTGACAGTGCTGAGATCTGGGCTTTGGGTTTGCGGGGTATGGAGCAGCAGGCCTTCCCGCCGCCTGCCTGGAACCTGAGGAAGCAGCAGCTGTGGGCGGGCATTGAGACGCTAGGCCCTTGGTTTCCAGTTTGCCACTGTCCTTTTTGCCTGTCTCAGGGTTTCCTGGGGGAAAGTGGGGCCTGACTAAGGCAAAATCAGAAAAAAGCAAAGAAAAAGCCTGGGACCTGCAGCCAAACACTGTTAAAATGCCACCCAAACCCAATAGGCCCTGACGTAAGTCCTGTGGGGAGTGAGGGATGGAGGTGCCCGCAGGCCCAGAGCGCCGCTGACCTCTGCCGGGGAGTAGCGTGTGATCTGTGCTGACACAGGCCTGTCGTTCATTCACAGCACTGGGGCAGAGCTGTCCTGAAAGTCTGCAGCATGTGTGGGATCTGAACGTCACTCTCCTTGTTTTGGGGTGTCCCCCCCTTAGATGTCATTTGTTAAAGAGTTCAAAGGTCATCAGCTCTAATTTCGTGTGATTTGCCTTTTCCTTTCAAAGGTGCTTCCTGGGTGAGTTGGGGTTTAGTCAAAGGAGCTGAATTTACTGGCAAAGCCATCCAGAAGGGCGCGTCCAAGCTGCGAGAGCGGATTCAGCCGGAAGAGAAGCCGGTGGAGGTCAGCCCCGCCGTGACCAAGGGGCTGCACATAGCAAAGCAGGCGACCGGAGGCGCGGCGAAAGTCAGTCAGTTCCTGGGTAACGTGAACCCGTTCACTTAGGAGGGAGCTCGGGACCCGCCGCTCATCTCAGTGCTCGCTCGCATGGCCCACAACCCTTAGCAGCCTCGCCTCGCTTCTCCCACTGGGGCCCATGGAGCAGCCGCGTGCCCGTCCCCACCATGTGGAGCTCGTGCATGGTGCAGGGTTGCAGGCACCAGGCACCTCGCCGGACGCTGACCGGCAACGTTGGTTTATACGCCCTGGGTCGGGCTCTGTCGCCGTGGGAGTTGAGAGGCACAGGCTGAAGGGCCATTGGGATGTGTTGGCAGGACCTGGGCCTCGGAAAAGGGCCACTGGAACGCCCTCCCATTCCTGAACCCGTCTGCAGGGTGTGGTGCGTCATTAGCAGGACCCGGACCTTGGGAAAGTGCCACCGGAACGCACTCCCGTTCCTGAACCCGTCTGCGGGTGTGGCACGTTACTGGCAGGACCTGGGCCTCGGAAAAGGGCCACCGGAACGCCCTCCCGTTCCTGAACCCGTCTGTGGGGTGTGGCGCGTCATTAGCAGGACCCGGACCTTGGGAAAGTGCCACCAGAATGCCCTCCCGTTCCTGAACCCGTCTGCGGGTGTGGCGCGTCATTGGCAGCACCCCTCGGAGCATGTGGCGCGTTCTTCCGGTTGTTGAGCACTGTGGGGGTGATTTCCACACGCCGATCCCCTGAGGAAGTGGGTGGGCCTCCGCGTTTCCTGGTTGTCATCGTTAGGGAGCCAGTCGCCAGGTTCTTCTCCCACAGAGCTGCTGGGGGGGCTTGAACCACTAACCTCACAGGTAGCAGCTGCGTGCTTAGCGGCTGGGCCCCTGCTGCCCGGGGCGCCTTTGAAGGAGCTGGCCCCCTGCGTGTGAGTTGAGTGTGGGAAGGCAGGGCTGGGCGTGACTCCCTGCGGGCTGTGGCCGCCACCCGCCCTCTGACGCTCAGCCTGCCTTCGCTGTCTGCAGCAGCTCCGTGGGGGTGACACTGGGTTCACTGAGGTGGCCCAGGCGTGGCTTGGCTCGGCTTTCTTTGGTCCTCCACGTTCTTCTGAATCTTCTGTCTGTGCCCTGAGGCCTGCTCCTGCTTCCGTGGGACTGACCAGTGCTGTGAGAGAGTCACCCGCTCCCGCTGGGGCCTGACACTGGGCTTGCAGCGTGTGTGCAGTGGCCAGGGCAGGGGCTGTCCGCTCTGCAGCAAAGCTGTGGGAGGAGCTTCATAGGAGCTGGTCACCCAGCCCCCTAGACACATGCAACCCAGACCCCTAGACACACATGTGCGTCCTGGGCCCCCACACACATGTGCGACCTGGCCTCCTAGACACGTGTGCAATGCTCCTTCTAGGCCCACATGTGTGACTTGGCCCCCTAGACATGCGTGTGCAGCCGGCCCCCTGGGCACACATGTAAGGATTTTGTACGGGGTTGGTAACATTGAGGGAAGAGGGTATTTTTTCCCTAACTGGTCTGTTTTTTCTGGTTCTGTTAGTTGACGGGGTCTGCACCGTAGCGACTTGCGTTGGAAGAGAACTCGCTCCACACGTCAAGAAGCATGGAAGCAAACTCGTTCCCGAGTCTCTTAAAAAAGACAAAGACGGGAAGTCCCCGCTGGACGGCGCCCTGGTGGTAGCAGCGAGCAGCGTTCAAGGTGACAGACGGGGCCCGAGAGTAGACGGGGAGCGCCTTGTGCGGGCACTCATTTGACTTACTGTGTGTCGCTTTGCAGGGTTCTCCACCGTCTGGCAGGGCCTGGAATGTGCAGCCAAGTGCATCGTGAACAACGTGTCGGCGGAGACGGTGCAGACGGTCAGACACAAGTAAGGCCCACACCTCTCCTCTAGCATGTGCCATAATCCAAGCACTGGAAAGAACTTGTGGTTATTTTCGTTTATTGAGCATCCGATGAAACATTTTCTTTCACCCTTTTTCTTAAACAAGAAGAGCGATGTTTTTGGTAAAATGATAGAGTAACTGTGACTAGGCTTTGTGTTAACTGAGTGTCATGAATACCGTTCACCATTAGTGCAAATAGGTTCAGTGGCTGCCAGCCACACGGAAAGGGATCAAAACAGGAGTCCTGGACAGAGTGGGAGAGAAATGGGGAACAAAAGTCAAAAACGTGAAAAAGACAGTCTGCTGGTTGCTAAAGCCTGGGGAAACCCCCAAGACAGGCCCCCTACGCACCCTTCAGGCCTAGAATTGAGCTCAGTCCTGTGGCTTAGTTCGGCAGGTGTGCCGGCGACCGGTGAAAGCCCCGAGCCCACGGGCCACAGGCTCCCTTCAGCCAGAATTGAGCTCAGTCCTGTGGCTTAACTCTCAGCCAGCTAGTCGGCCTAAGAGCTGAACCCGTACACCAGGGAGGTGCACTCCTTAGAAGAGCCAGCTCCTGGAGATGAGAAGGGGAGTACCTGCCCAGGGAGGGGGAGAGGCCGCAGGAGGTGAGGGGGGCGGCACCCGCATGGGGATGGGGGGAGGCCGCGGGAGGTGAGGGGGCACCCGCACAGGGAGGGAGGCACGCGGCAGGGGCAGGAAGGATACAGGGCAAAGGATGGCCACAGGGCGGCCGCGGAAGGAGAGCTGCTACGTTGTGGGGACTGCAGGTAGTAACCTGAACTGCTGAATGGACTACAGGTTGGCTCTGTCAGCTTTTCACCCAGATCACAATAGAAAGTTAAAAAAAAAATCAGTGAGTTTAGTGGGAAACAATGTCTAGAGTTTCTCATGTTGCGGTCATTGCTGAGTAGTTGACGCTGACTCACCTTAACCCTGCGTGACAGAGCACAGCCTACCCCATGGGGTTCCTAGGCTCTGATACGATTACCCCGTGTGACTCTACCCCACAGGGGTTCCTGGGCTCTGGTTCAGTGCCCCATATGATAGAGTACAACCTGCCCCACGGGGTTCCTGGGCTCTGGTTCGGTGCCCCCCGTGGGACAAGATGTCTCCAGGAGACTGAATCCCACAGACTTATTTATAGTATAGTTCACATTCTTTTTTAATTGTTCTTCAGTTAGTGATGTTACTGATTATATAAAATCTAGCTTAACAGGCTGTAATTAAAATTACCTTTCAAAAAGTATAAAAACACAACCAATTGTTGTAACTGATTCCAGCCTTTTGGTCAGCAGCTGAGGCCCTAACCACTGCACCGCCCACCCATGGTACAGACCTTTACTGTCATGCTGATTCCAGCTCACAGTGGCCCAGTGGGCCAGGACGGAATAGCCCACAGGGTTCCCCAGGCTGTAATCTTCACAGAAGCAGACGGCCTCATCTTCCACCCGCCGAGTGGGCTGGGGATTCGAATTGCCAAGCACTGACCCAGTGCACCACCAACGAGCAAAGGAGAGAGGTCCTCTAGGATGGGCTTCTAACCTGGTGACAGACGCGGGCCAGAGCCTAGACAAACAGCAGGGGGGAACGCATTCTGGACTCGGGACACACACACAGTGGGCGTGGAATGAAGGGAGTGCTGCCAGTGCAGCGTGGGTCAGCGCTCGGCTGTTGACCCGCCAGCGGCCCCATCGGAGAGAGGCCTGCTGTCTGCTCCCACGGACGTTACAGAACCCTGTGGGGTGGTTCTCGGCCCTGGGGTCACTGTGAGGGAGTCTTGACCTGATGGCACCCAACAAGTGTGTAGAGGGCGACCCGTGACCCGTGTCACAGAAGAAGGGACAGTTGAGGGGAGGACTGGCCGTGGGGGGGGGGCACGAGAAGGTAACAGCTTGGCCCCATGGACGCCTGGGGCGAGCACGTGCGGCGGTGCGGCCAGCCTGGGCATCTTGAGGCCGGTGAGAGCTGGCTGGCCTGGGAGCCACAGCAGGGCCTGTGTGTGGAGGAGAGGAGTCGTGGGAGGGCCTTGGCCTAAAGACGTTCAGATTCGGCCCCTGAGGAGACTGACCAGCCTCCCTCAGGAGGACGCTCGGTGGAATCTGAGGCCCTCTACGGTGGCCCTGGAGTCTGTGCCCTGCACTCTCTAATGAGACCTCCTATAGAGAGCCCTGGGAGCTCTGGTAGCATAGTGGCTAAGACAGTTGCCTGCTAACCAGATGGCTCACGGTTCAAACCCACCAGCCACTCCTCGGAAGGAAGGTTGGGCAATCCTACTTCTGTAGTGATACTGCCTCGGAAACCCAAGGAGGGGTCGCTATGAGTCGGGGCCGACTCGATGGCACACAACGACAACATAGAGAGCCCTAGACCTGGCTGCTAACTGAAAAGTCAGCGATTCAAACCCACCAGGCACTCCACTGGAGAAGGCTGTGACAGCTCCCGTAAAGAGTGCCAGCCTAGGAGACCCCATGGGGCAGTTCCACTCTGTCCTCTAGGGGCGCTGTGAGTCAGAATGGACTCCACGGCAGTGGGTGTGGTTTGGGCTTTGCTTCCATGAAGACGACAGCCTGGGAGACCCTGTGGGCAGTTCCACTCTGTCCTCTAGGGGCGCTGTGGGTCAGAATGGACTCCACGGCAGTGGGTGTGTTTTGGGCTTTGCTTCTGTGAAGACTGACAGCCTCGGAGACCCTATGGTGCAGTTCCACTCAGTCCTCTAGGGGCGCTGTGGGTCAGAATGGACTCCACGGCAGTGGGTGTGTTTTGGGCTTTGCTTCTGTGAAGACTGACAGCCTGGGAGACCCTGTGGGCAGTTCCACTCTGTCCTCTAGGGGCACTGTGGGTCAGAATGGACTCCGCGGCAGTGGTTTTTGTTTCCAGGAGGAAAGGATGAAGTCACGAGGGATTAACAGCTTTGTTGTAGTTGACAGTTAACCTTTATCGTCAGTCATACAGTGTTGATCTCAGCTCACCAGAGCTGACCGTCCCACCTTGTTCCTGCTGAGGGGGGCAGGATGGAAGCTTAGCCCAGTGCAGTGGCTCCGGGATTGCACCCAATGGGAGCCTCAGCGCTGCCTGCAGGAATCCCGTGATTACGTATTTCCAGGTAAAGAGCCGCACTTATAGTCATCATCCCGGTGACCTCTCTCCCCTCTCTTCTGAAGGTACGGCCACAGTGCGGGAGCCGCCACGCACGACGCCGTGGACTCCGCCGTGAACGTGGGCCTAACCGCCTATAACATTGACAACATCGGCCTCAAAGCGATGGTGAAGCGGACGGCGAAGCAGACGGGCCACACCATCCTGGAGGAGTATCAGATCCCCGATCGCTCACAGGGCAAGAACCCGGAAGGAGCCGCCGGCGCGACCACGACGGCGCAGACGCCGGAGCAGCCCGAGGCCGGGGTGCAGAAGGAGCCGGAGAAGAGGTCGGAGAATAGAGAGAAGTGAGGCGCCGCGGCAGCTCCCGGGGCCTCACGGCGCAGGCCGTCGGGCCCAAGCAGCCGGGGAGCCCGCTGAGGAGCCGCGCCCGGGGCCGTGCCCGCGCCTTGGTGACTGGGGTCCGCCCGCGGCAGGGAATCCGTGCCCCGGCCGTTAGCTAGTGCGCTTCTGCTCGCAGTAAGTTTCCTGCCCTGAAGGTGGCTCGACTATTTTTGCAATCAAAGTAACACTGATGACACGTGTACCATAAACCTCAGTAAAGCTCACGTCCACCTCTGTGTGTGCCTGCCGTCTGTGAGAAAGCACAGGGCCTCGGGGCTGTCGTACACTCGGCTGAGTGGCCTTGGTTACTTTCTGCTGGAAAGCAGCGGCTTCGGATAGCGGCTCCCCGTTTACACTAATTGTGGCGTTTATTTTTTAGGTTCTTTCCTGTCAGAAGGTTCAGTGTGTAAGCTAAAGGAATTGGGCTCACATTGGGGAAGTCGGTCACTGCAGGGACATGTGGCCAGGGGGCGGCCCTGAGTCTGACGGCCCCCAGCAACCTCCCTCCCTCAGTGAACAGGGTGTCTCACAGCAGAGGAATCGAGGTGGGTTTTCAAGACCCTGGGTCCTGATTTATCAGGAGTCTAGGGAATTGTTGGGCTCTGATTGGTATCATATGCAACTTCCAAGTGGTTGTTACTGGTTTGATTGGACAGAAACAAACCATCAAGTATCTGAACAAATCATTTTACCAGGTCCACTTCTGTAGGTTTTTCCAAAAGTCTGGAACTTTGTAAACACTGAAATAGAAAGTGAATTGAGTGTCTTGGTGGCTAAATACATTTTTACTTTTGGAGTCAGGCATTGCAGTTTTATTCAGTGGAAAGTCCACAAATTATTCAGAAGGAAGGATTGTATTCATAAGTCTACGGGCATCGTGGTTCACACCATGGGAGGAGGCGGGGGTGTCCCTAGACCTATAATCCACAGCGTATGGGCATCGTCGTTCCAACCATGGCAGGACACGGGTGTCCCTAGACCTGTAAGCTGCAGTGAAGCTGCAGTGATGGACGTGAAGGCCTGGTGACGCTGTTGTCTTGCCCACAGCTTGAAATCATCACTCCTGGTTTTCACAGCTGTGCTCTGTTCTAACCATTTCTCAATGTCTAATTTATTGGACTTTCTTTGAAACTAACGGAAAGAGTGCACTTTGTGAATAAAAACTGTCTCTGAATTACAAGGCCTCCAAGTGTATTCATGGGCTAGTATTTTGGGAACACATTGAATTGTTAGAGCCTTTTCCTAAGGCAAGGAGCTCTGGTGACATTTGGCTGCTAACCAAAAGGTTGGTGGTTCAAAACCGCCAATTGCTCTGCAGGAGAAAAATGAGGCAGTCAGCTCCCATAAAGATTGACAGCCTAGGAAACCCTGTGGGCCAGTTCCACTCTGTCCTCTGCCCTCTAGGTACACAATGAGTCAGAATCCACTTGACGGTGGGATTTTGTTCTCTAAAGCCAAGGAAAGTGTACCAGTTGTTAAAATTGGAATAAAATTGAGTTGATAAATAGCTTCCAGTTAGTGGCCTGCCTTGTGCAAGTTTTAGAAATGGAATGGCGGATAGTGAAGACGAAAGTCACCTTCCGCCAGGGTCAGTGAACTACGCGCCACAGGCCACATGCGGCTGGCTGCCTGGTTTTGTCAAGGAAACTTGACTGAGGCACAGCCGTGTCCCTTCCTTGCTGCATGGGCTGCTCTCCAGGACAGTGGCCACGCAGGGATCTAGGGACACAGACCGTGTGCCCACAGGTCTACGATATTTTGTATTTGGCCCTGCTTTGCAGAGAAGGTTTTTTTGCCCTGCCTTTAAGCAAATGAGTTTTTCCCACAGTTCCACTGAGTCACTATGAGATAAGGTGCTTGTAAAGAAGTTGTTAACTATTATGTAATAATTGCTACACATAAAAAATTAGATTATATAGCATCTCCGGCATGAAAAGTAATAAAATATAGCACCAAGAAACTCAGCACCTGCCTAAGGACCTAGAAAGTTACCAAGTGCTCATGCAAGAGTGGGCCGGCCTGTCTTCCCTCCTGGCCCCTCCCCACCGCTTCTGTCTTCATCCTCTGCTCTCTGTCATCCTCCATGTGTCTTGTTTTAAAGTTTATGGTCTCTTACTATGAGGTCTTACTCAACTTGCATTATCTTTAAAATTCGTTCTTGGGTTTGCATGTATCCTTTATTAAACTGCTGTACAGCACTCCACAGGGAGTATGTTACATTTTATGTGTCCATCTTCCTGTCCACTGACATTCGATCTTTAATTGTTGATACAAAGAGCAGGCCCGTGAAGATCATGAATATGTCCCTGGCACACATACGTGTGCACAAGATTTTACACATCGGTTTGGACTTTCAGCCCGTAGGCTTTATTAGTGTTGAACTTTGCACATACTCCCAAGTTGTTTTCCAAAATAATGACACTCCTCAGCACGATGGCCCTTGAGAGTGTCCCCAACAACATTTGGTACTTTAAGGGATTTCTTTTCTCCACTATAGTGTGTGTTTGTGTGATGGTGTCTCATTGTAGTCTTAATTTGCATTTTCCTGGACTCGAATGAAATTGATCATTTCCACGTGTATTCATCGTTCATTTTTTTGTGTTGTACAATGCTGGTGACTGTAGACTTTTGCTTCTTATATTTAAGTGTTCAGTTCATTGAGAATTTATTTCTACTTGTGTGTACATTTATGTGCACATGAGATACAAGAATCTGATTTTTTTCTGTCATAGATAATCAGTTATCCACCCTCTGTTTATTGAGTTGTTTTCTGGAGTCATCCACAGCTTTCTCTGTGTATCAGATTTCTGTGTGTGTGTGGGTCTGTCTATATTCATTTCCGTCAATCATTTCTTTATTCACTGTTGTAATTACAATACCTTCACAGCAGTCCTGCAATCTGGTAAGGCAGGACGGCCAATTCCCTCCACCCTATGCTTTGGGCATAGGCTGAATAAAGAAATTCAGTCTTAGACTGGGTTCTCCAGAGAAACAAAGCCGCTGAAGGATCTATGTAAAGATACAGAGGAATCTATTTCAAGGAAATGGTTCACACGGTTTTGGAGGCTGCCACGTCCCAAATCTGTGGGTCAGTTGGCAGACCGGAGGCATCTCCTTACTCACATGGTTGCAGGAACTCACAAACCCAAAATCTGCAGGTCTGGTGGCAGGCTGCTGGCTCACGTCTCAAGAATAGGTCAGACGGTGACAAGTCAGGTGCAGGATGGAGAGAGGACAAGCCTTGACAGAACATGCTTATATATTGGATGCAGGCCATGCCCCCATGGACACTCCCCTTTCCACTGATTGGCTGCTCATGGCAGATCACAGAGTGGAGCATGATGATTACATAACAGCAGCCCAACCACTGAGGGTCATGACCTAGCCGAGTTGATACTTAACTGTAACCATCACAGTTCACCTCTTGTCAGCTTGACAGCTGTGCACATCTTCTCAACCCATACAAAGTCCCTGAGTTGAAATCTGTGCTTGCACCTAATATGATGTGACTGCAGACTAGCCCTGTGTACATCTTACATTTCATGATAAGTAATGGAATAGGGAGCTCTGGTAGCATAGTGGCTAAGACACTTGCCTGCTAACCAGACGGCTGGCGGTTCAAACCCACCAGCCACACCTCGGAAGGAAGGTTGGGCAATCCTACTTCCGTAGTGATACTGCCTCGAAAACCCAAGGAGGGGTCGCTATGAGTCGGGTTTGACTCGACGGCACATAACAACATAACAACAACAACAATGGAATAAGGGAAGGAAGGTAAAAAAGATGTATACACATACACAGAGTACACAAACAACAAAGAAGAAATACCCATAATAATTACAGTCTTTGTCTCTACAACTGGTCACAAAGCCCTGACTCTCAGAGAGTTAAGTCACAGAGTCCTAACTAGCTAGTCGTAACTACCTTCTTCCACCACCCACTCCATGTTTCCCTTGCCCTCAGCAAGCACCTCAGCTGGTCATGGTCTTTGCCTGGGGGGGTGACCCAAACCTTCATTGCTGAAGGGTCTGCGTCATTAGTAGTCATATCAGAAATGGGTTGCTATACTTTTCCATTGATTTTCATCACAATGGTAGTGCCAAGAGATGTCCTAAAGAATCTCCTGTATCCCAGACATACTCTGCTTTACCTCCATTATGTAATGTCAATCCAGTTCCCCCTTGGAAATCATGATCTATCACACCAGGTAGTATAGTAATGCCCTTCTTTGTCTGTTGATCCAGAGACACAAGGAAGCCAAGATGGCTGGGTGGCATTCTTAATTTCCAGGTCAATGCAATCAGTACTGTGTCTCCAGATGGGAGTGGTTCTCCCTTTGGGACTAAGGTCTCCGGACCTGCAGAGCACAGGGTAGCAGGGACAGGAAGCAAATTTTTTTTGAGTGGGTCAGTAGGGGTAATAGTGAGTGGTACCACTCCTGTTTCCACCCCTTGGTTCCTGGACCCATGAATCCTGGCTATTGAGAAACAGAACCATATAGTGGACACTGGTTTAGAACATATACAGCCTCCTGGAGAACATTGCACCAAACCTTCAAGGTATTGCCACCTAGCTGGCACTGTAATTGTGTTTTCAGTAGGCCATTCCATCGTTCTATCAAGCCAGCTCCTTCAGAAAATGGGGAGCCTGGTAAGACCAGTGAATTCCATAGCATAGGCCCATTGCCACACTTTGTTTGCTGTGAAGTGAGTCCCTTGATCTGAAGCAATGCTGTGTGGGATACCATGATGGTGGATTAAGCATTCTGTTAGTCCATGGATGGTAGTTTTGGCAGAAGCGTTGTGTGCAGGGAAGGCGAATCCATATCCAGAATAAGTATCTATTTCAATAACTACAAAACGCTGTCCTTTCCATGATCAAAGTGGTCCAATGTAATCACCCTGCCACCAGATTGCTGGCTGTTGACCCCAAAGAATGGTTCCATATTGAGTTGGTCTCTGCTGCTG